CTATACTTTAATTCGTTTGTTCAAGATGAGACATCCGTTTACATAAGTCTATTATTCATAAGACCGGATCATTTTTCAATGGCATGCAGCAAAATTTTTGCATGCTATTGTTTTTCTACTGAGACATTATTGCATGAATTGACATTTGTAGGATAGGCTAGCCTTATTTAGTCGGTGGGTTCTAATTTTCAAAGAAAATATACATATGTAAACACAAATGCATATTCTTTCATAAACATCTTCAATGGTACATGAATTGTTTAATTTCATTGTCACATAGCCTAAAAAATCCAATGTGACATTTCAAAATTATAAAAGTCTTTCTAGACGCAGAAATACTCCTAGACATATTTTATTATATATTATATTATTTATTTTATATTTCTTTCTCCACCAATTAATTATTATCTTACATGTGTTAAATTATTTTACAATTGACATTAATCATTGAAGACAAAATATTTTTATTTCCTTTTTCCACACCATTCATCTCACCATAGACATTAAACCATCATCAAACCATTGGAGATGCTCCAATATTACAAATTTGCACAACAAATTTAACAATTGTATCTAGATATAAAAAGTATCCGACTATTCGATGTATCATTGAAAGAAGATGATAACAATGTTTATCATTTTTATGTAAGAATATTTTTGCAATGTGTAAATGCCATGGAAACTTTGTAAAAAGTATGATTCGATTTTTCCGAACACTATCAATAATATTTTAACCGTCAAATCTCACATTTTTTAACCATCAAATCAAACACACTTGTATAGATCTAATGGCTACTACCTTGTGGAGCACATATAGAATATGCATTTAAGTCCAAAATGAATCACAATATCCTTAAAAAAAATGAAAAAAAATGAAAGAACAAACTAAAACAAACTATTAACATCTATACATAAAATTTAATAATCATCACTCTTGAGACATGTATAATTAAATTACAATATATATATGATTCATATATAATTAAAAATTCTATAAAAAAATGATGTGTGTTGTGTACACAATCACACTCCTCTACACCCCAATCTTTTCATCTCCACAACAAGCTCCTCCAATTTGTCATATATCTCGGACGACCTTTCGTGCGAACAATCCCCACCTACAAAACCATGAACCGTCCCATTCACTTGTATCCAACTGCATCCCGGCTTTTTCCTAAACCCCAATTCCTTCTGCTGAATTCTCACCTTTTCCGCATCATCCCACCTCATAGCCGTCGTGTACAGATTATACAACAGAACAAAATTCCCCGTGCTCGAGGGCCCCACAGACCCGAACATTTCACTCGAAACCCTTTCCCCGAGCTCCACATTCTTGTGGACCCTGCATGCCGCCAGCAAAGCATTCCACATATGCGAGTCGGGCTCGAAGGGCATCCCGGCCCGAATCAGCCCGTAAGCCTCGTCCAGAAGCCCAGCCCGGCCCAACAGATCCACCATGCAGAAATAATGATCCATCTTTGGGCACAGCCCGAATTCCTCTCTCATGGCCCGAAACAGGCGCCTCCCCTCGTCAACAAGGCCCGAGTGGCTGCAAGCCGAGAGAAGAGCAACGAAAGTTATTTCGTCCGGTTTTGGGCCTATGGCCCGCATCTCCTGAAAAAGCATAACAGCTTCCGGCCCAAGCCCGTTAATTCCGTAGCCCACGAGCATCGTGTTCCACGATACCACATCGTTATTAAAACCCATCCCATCAAAAACGCGCCTTGCTGCTTGGATATTCCCACATTTACCGTACATGTCAATCAGAGCATTACAAATCGAGATATTCGAAGCGAAACCTCGCACGACCGAGTAGCCGTGCCCGCAAATCCCGAGCCGCAGTGCGGACAGATTGGAGCAGGCCGGGAAGAAGCCCATCATTGTGGCGGGCTCCGGGCTGAGGCCCGCGAGCTGCATCCTGCGGAAAAACCACAGGGCCTTGTCGTAATATCCGTTCTGGATCGAGCCGGATATTATAGCACTGTATGAAACAGAGTCTTTAACCCACATTGATTCAAAGAATCTCACGCCATCTTCAATCGACCCACATTTCGTGTACATCGAGAGAATCGTGTTGCTCGTCATCAAGTCCCGAGCGAAACCTGACTTGACAAAGCAGCAATGAAGGTAGCTGCCCGTGCCAGAGTCGTTCAGCTTTGCACAGCCACGAAGGAGGGCTGCAAGTACAACGGGCGAGGAGCCCTTTTCGGCCTCGTCTGCCTTCATTTTGCTAAACAATCCGAATGCCTCGTTTATAGAGCCACAATCAACGCAAGCTCCGATTACAGCGCTCCACGTGATTTCATTTCTCAATTTCAACGACGAAAATACCCTCTTCGCGTAAATCAGTAGCCCACATTTACCGTACATATCGAGAAGCCCTGTCCCCACCACCACATCTATATCAATACCCCTTCTCAAGCAAAAACCGTGAACGGACTTTCCTTCACTCGACTTTCCTTTCTCGCCTAATACGGGCAGAATTGCAACGACAGTCGATGAATTGGGATCCACCTGAAACTTTTGCATCTCGCAAACCAAACTAACAGCATCCGAATACATTCCGTGTGACGAGAATCCGTTAACCAAAGCATTCCATGCCACGACATCTCTTTCAGGCATTTTATCAAACACATTCTTAGCCTCCACCAAGCACCCACATTTCACATAGAAATCGACCAGCGCTGTACAAACATACACATCCTTTTCAAGACCGTACCTTTTCGATTGCTCGTGGATTCTCGTGCCGGTTTCGAAATCCTGCAGAGCAGCGCAGGCCTTGAGGACGAAAGGGTAGGTGTACTTGGTGGGCTCGACGCCGGAGCCCATCATCTGACCGTACAAATCGAGGGCCGTTTCGAAAGGCCCGGCCCACGCGTAGGCCCGGATCAATTGGTCCCACAGTATGGTCTTGCTCTTCTTTTGGTGAGTTGGGATCGAGTCGAAAACTCGGTGTGCGAGCTGAGGGCTGTTGCAGGAAATGTAAAGGCGAGCGAGCTTGTCCGGGACCGATGATGCGGCGAGTGACCCGAAATCTGGGCCGTTGATTTTGAGGAGACGCTGGTGGACCGTCTTTCCCTTTTTGAGGGATTTCGACGCGATGCAGGCGTCAAGAAGTCGTAGGTAACTGTTGGCGGCGGTTGAGACGGAGACCCTGTTTGGCATAACTTTTCTTTTGGGCAGGTTTATGGGCAAAAATCCCTACAAAGAAACACAAATTGTGGACTGACCCTTACTTGAATTTGCATGAATGTTAAGTCTTAGCTTAGAAAATGTTTGCTATTCTAATTTAAATTTATTTAGATCAACAATTATATATTTGGAAACAATTTCAATATGTGCATACTTTTCTTTTAGTACAACATCCGATTTTCTTCAGAATTTTTTTTTTTTTTTTACAATTTAAGTTAAAAATACTAAAAATAGAGTTCATATTTTACTATTTTATTGAAGGCAATATTAATTATTCTATGTCATTTACGTTACTATGAATAATATTATTACTTTTTTATTTCGGTACATATAATATTAATTACTTTGACACTTTGTATTTTAATTTTATACAACTTGATTATTATAAAATTCTAATAAAATTTGTTGTATGTAGGCTACGCTGCTTAGCTGAAATTTCCAAGTTCTGACAAGGAGGTTAGCCATGGCAGCTTATGCAGCTGTACTCTCCCTGGAGAATATACTGGAACAAATACAAAATCATCCCCACCCCTCAAATTTCTCTTGGAGACAACCAACAGATCCAATCTCTCCGCGAAAAGATCAGTCCTTTGCGACAATTTTTCGAAACCCTTTCCCACAGACTGTAAAGAATCTGAATTTTTGGAAACTCAGATTGTGTCCGCAGCTCAGGAAGCTGAAGATTTGATCGAATCCCGCGTTGTCGATCAAATCCATTCCCGTTCAGTTTCCGTGCTCGATTTGCGGGAAATAGTAGCAGAAATTGATTCCATAAATGGGCAATTTTTCGAATTCGAAGAGAGAAGAGGCCCCGGCGATTTGCAGCCCGCGGCTGCTAATAATACCCAAAGCCCTCTTGTAATTGAAAGGGATACCAATACCATGGTGGGATTTGATGACAGGTTGATCCAACTCATGGACGGGCTCACCGGGCCACAATCGGGCCGCAGAGTAATCCCTCTTGTTGGCATGGGCGGTATTGGTAAGACCACACTCGCCGAAAATGTTTTTGAAAGTTCATTAATCGTGCAGCATTTCGATGTTCGGGCTTGGGCCACCGTATCCCAACAGTACAGCGTGAAAGAAATTCTATTGAGACCTCTCTCTTTCAGAAAATGGCAAGGGGGAAGTGAAAAATCGGCAGCATCAAGTGTTGAACTTGAACTGGAAAGTGAAGAACAGTTGGGTGAAAGATTGTACAAATGTTTGTGGGGGAGGCGGTATTTAATTGTGCTGGACGATGTTTGGTGTGCCCAAGCCTGGGACAAGATGAAGATTTTCTTTCCTGACAGCAGTAACAGAAGTCGGGTTGTGGTAACGACCAGGTTATCGAACGTGGCTAACCATTTGAGCTCATCTTGTGTGGAAATGAATTTGTTGGACGAGAACCATAGTTGGGATTTGTTTTGCAGAAAAGCATTTGATGACGGATTTTGCCCGCCTGAACTGGAGGATATTGGGAAACTGATTTCTAAACGGTGCAAAGGACTTCCGCTCTCGATATCCGTGATTGGAGCTCTTACTGGAAAAACTAACAGGACACGAGAGCATTGGGAGAGTGTTGCGAAAGACGTGAACTCAATCCTCAACTCGAGAGAAGAAGGGCATTGCTTGATTTATTGTCTTTGAGCTACAACCACTTGCCCGTTCATCTTAAGCCTTGTTTCCTATACATGGGAATCTTTCCAGAAGACCACAACATCCGAGTGTCCCGGCTTATCAAGCTTTGGGTTACCGAGGGATTTCTGAAACCGAATAAGTCCCATAGCTTGGAAGAAGTTGCTGAGGATTACATCTGTGATCTGGTCGATAGGAATCTCATTTCAATCCGGAAGTTGGGGTCGACCGGTAAAATCAAAACGTGCAACATTCACGATCTTTTACGAGACGCGTGCTTGAGAATAGGCATGAGAGAGAATTTTCTCCGTGTCGTGAGAAAGGCCGACTCCGCACAAGGCCTAGATAATGCACATCGCATTGTTTTTTACGAAAGCATCCCGAAGAGCGATCACGACCATCCAGTCTTCCACACCTTGCGATCGGCACATCTCATCCGCTCGTTCATATGCGAGGGCGGTCAACTGCCACATAGGTTTAAGTTGCTGAGGGTGTTGAGCTCGGTCGATGATGATTCCCTGGAGACTATTTTCCGACAAGTCAACCTGCGTCACCTCGCGTACGAACATCTACTGCTCTCGTATTCTAGGCTTCCTTTGTCAGTGTCCCTTTTGTGGAATCTGCAGACTTTAATTATTAGGGGTTCTATCCAACGTATTTTGGCCCCACGTGAATTGTGGGCCATGCTGAACCTCAGGCACGTCGAGATAGATAAACTCTGTCTTCCTGATCCCCCTCACGGCCAAGGAGATGTGACCGCCTTGCCCAACTTGAGAACACTAACCGAAATAATGAATTTCAGGTGGAGTACCGAGTCCTGCAGTAAAGTCCCGAACGTAAAAAAACTGCACATGCAGTATGAAGACGATTTTAAGAATCGTGACTGTCTCTAAAATCTCCGCCACTTGTGCAAGCTCGAATCGCTAAAATGCTCGTTTTCTGGGAGTGTCACGAAGTGGATTGATTCGGTGGAGAATCTCGAGTTTCCAAATTCGCTCGTGAAGTTGACATTAAAGGGGTCCCGCCTTCAGTGGGAGGACCTGTCAGTGATTGGCTCATTGCCTAATCTCAGAGGTTCTCAAACTGGAATACAGTTCGGTCACGGGCCCTGAATGGAAGCCCGTGGAGGGGGAGTTCGTTCGGCTCAAAGTGCTGAAGATTCACTGTGGTGAGTTGAGTTGTTGGGATGCGGACAGCTGTCATTTCCCGGTACTCGAGGAACTTGTTCTTGTGGACATGTACGCGTTGAGGGGGATTCCTTTTGGCATTGGGGAAATTGATACGCTCAAGGTTATTCGATTGTATTACTGTGGAGAGCCTGCTGTTATGTCTGCATTGAGTATAGTTGAGGAGCAAGAGAAGATGGGGAATGAAGGGCTTCGAGTTCGAGTTGTGTTTTGGGATGAGGACAGTCTGGAGAGGTTTCGATCTCGAGGGGTTTAAGAGCAGTAATTTCGTGTTCATGCGGCTGTTTGAGGAAAGCGAATTATGATTTTTGAACCTTCTTTTGCTGGCATTCATGATTCTTTAAAGAATGGAAACATTCACAAAAAGGAAAGCAAGAAGTAGATGATATCAAGTAGAAGATGCCATGTTGAGTCAAATTCAGTCATGAAAGCCAAGCCTTTGCAATGTGTTGCATTATTCGTTTGTCGGGCGAAACCTGAGATTGTAACACTAGAATCCGATTTTCAATACAACTAATGAGCAGTAGAGTGAGGAGTTCTAAAATTATATGCATCTCTAATTCACATCTTTGAATCTTAGTCTATACATTTTACATCTTCTGTTCACAGTTTGACCAACACCAACAAGACCATCGACCAATTCAACTAGTAAACCAAGGATTTCATAAGTTTTCAGCCGAATATTCCAACTAGTTGAAAATTACTTAAATTAATACCAAACTTGACAACAATAGTTAGGCTAATGCTAACCCATGTATAGAAATTTTTTACCAGATGAGTGACAGAATCCAACAATTTTAGCTCCAACTGAAGCACAATTGCACGGTTTGATAGAAAAGGTATATCAGAAAATCTTCGGGTTGACAGCATAATAAATTACTTACACAAACAGGCTTCCATAAAAACACAGTATACAGTAAAACGAAAACCCATCACTACTAGAACAAACAAGAAGATCATAAAAGCTTTTAGAACCAAAATTAAGTTGTGCCCCATGCATCTGATACATGATCCATGTTGGCGGAGAAGAAAAAACGAAATAAAAAAGTCAAAAAAAAAAAAAAGATACGAAATACAAAGCTCAGAATCTGAAGGGCACTAATTCTATAGGTTCTAAAGATCAGCCTCCTCAGAAATAGTCAGGAAGTTGCATTTTTCATGTATTTCCAGAGAAATCTCTTATGCACCACAAGTGTATGTTTTCTGCAGTTGTCGAATATCTACAGTTGGGAGTGTATGGACACATCAAATCTACTCAACGAGCCCTGCCGATCATCGGAAGCAACAACCATCAGATAATGGTTGTTTTGCTTTGAAAACTGAGTAAAAAAACAAAACGAGCACTCAACTTTGGTCAGATAAAGTGTAGCAAGAAAAACTGACATGTATGATATGTCATATGTTAAAACCATTAGAAATGCAAATTAATTCAAGCGTCACATTCTGTAATAACCAGTGAGGGTTATTATGGAAAGCTTTTATTTTGAACCATTGAGGTGTATACATCCTATTAAAGAGCTTGCAAGATCTTAAGAAGAAAATACATGAACACTTCTTCTAGACAACTTAAAGCGTGTGTATAAGATCAAGGAAAAAGATAACTGAACTTTTCGGGAGCTCAAGGTGTGTAGAACTATTAAAGAGTTTATAAGTTCAGTTAAAACCCCGGTTAATGGCTTTCTAGTAATTACTTCTAATCCATTGTGCAATAGTTATCAATCACAGCCCATCACTTTATAGCAATCGCGACTTGTAATTCAGAACTCCACAAATACCAATCTGATTGACGGAGCATATACATGGCATACAAAACCGCACTTCTGCTTAAAAGAGAAGAGCTTACCTAGAGCTTATGGCAAGGCTGCTGAGAATCAGCCTTCATCTCACAAAGTTGATTGTCTTCCACCTTCAATCACCATTTCCAAGAGTACATGTAAAACCATACGACATCAGTCACCAACAGGTTATGTAAATAAGTTCGTCAGAACAGGGCTGACTACTTGTCGATAACTGCAGGTGAAAAATATTTTACACAAAACAGAACAATAATACTCAATCCACCTATTATCTAGTCCGCATTAGTGGAAATATGCACAATACACCTACCACCAGAACAAATTCATCAAAACCCAAGTGACTACATTCATTTTCACAATATTCTGTGGTGATTCATTCTCGATACTTTGTCAAGGAATACAATGGCAGTACAAAGGCTTATAATCTACAAACAAGTATGATAATTTTCCTCCAACTAAATCAGATGTTAATCAATCATCAATGTATAACTGAGACAAGCTGTGACCAGTAAAAATGGTGCATGCAGCCAATGTTTAATTAGCGTTAGAAGCACATCTGTATTTAAGTAGACGCTGCTTCAGGTCTATTTTATGTTACACTTTCCTTACGCACCAATTGGTCAACAAAGGTGAACTTGACCAAGACAACCAACCAAGGACAAACTCTACTATAGTTTAATGACCCCAAACACGAATTAATTTCTCCACACAATCATTAATCATAAACAAGAAACTCGGTACTGGATAATATATTAGTAATTTATGCAAATCATGAAAGTAACACTTACAGGATTTTAGGGAAATGTAAGTTTTAAAAGTCAAATTCTACTGCCACGAAGAATGCCTACGTCTGGCGGGCTCATTGTCCCAGCCACCATCAGGCTCCCTTCTTTTCAGAATACCACCTGAAACTGAGAACATACGAGACTGCTCCTCCGCAAGAGCTTGAAAACTGGAAACAGACTGTTGGCCAGACAAGTGAGGCAAATTCTCTTCCTTCACTTCACCTTCAATGGCGCCAGGTCCAGCATTAAGATCCAGACCCTGTCTGTTCCACTTCCTGTTGCTATCCAACACACCATTATTGTTCACATCAGGAAGGCCAACCATAAAAGGCCTCTGAAATTGGGGTACGACATTACCATCAGGTCCCAGATATTGTGAATTCATTGAAGGTGGAAAAATCCTTGCACCAGAAGAGGAATCCGGATACGAATTACCTCCAACTGAAAAAGTGCCTGAAGGGAGAGGAAAAGTGGCCCCAAAAGAAAATACAGGGTACTGGAATGGACCAGATGGGTAAGGCACTGCAGGAGAAGATGACAGCACAGATCCACGGTACACATCACGATTGAATTGGGCAACACCACCAGGGCCAAATGATCTTTGGGGCGCACCAGGTGGGAAAACAGAAAATGAATGTTCCCCTCGGTCAGGTAATACCGATGGTATTGCTACTGTTGAGTAAGTATTCCCTGGAGAAAACCAAGATGTGAAGCTGTTTGGCCCTTGATTGCTCATTGTGAGGCCAGCAGAAGGCAGTTGTGCAGCTGCACCACCCTTGACTGAATGACTGACTGAGAACTGCCTTACACTAGCATCATCAATTGTAGGTCCATTGTTTAGATCGAAATCCCTCTGAATATGTAAATTACTCACTGGTTTGACGTGCGCAAAGGGAGTCTCGACGTGATGATTGCTGCTAGTAGAAAAATGCACAATATCATTTGCCTCATCGGCCCTATTCAAATCGAGATCCAGCACACCAGAACTCCGTTGCATTGAACCCGATGCTTCACTTAGCAACGAGGCACAATTACTTGACGGATGAGTAGTTGACTCAAAAGCCAAAGCGGATCCTCGAGAAGCCAATTCCTCCAGAACTCTTTCATCTGGTACATTGAGATCAATATCCAAAGGAAAACGGTCATGTTTACTGGTTGAAGCATCAGCATAAGATGAATTAGATGTGCCAACTGCCGTTTCAACAACTTTTCTGGGTTCCGCAGGACGAAATGCACTAGTGGCAGCAGACCCCTTCCATCCAAGTTCCACTTTACTTCTCAATAGATCGTCCGGAGGAGAAAAGTTGCCTTTGGCAGCAGAAGCTACAGTAATGGAGGCAGAATAACCAAGGGGAATAGAACTCAAAGGAGATGGTAAAGATTTAACATTCTGAACAGTTGATGATAAAGTGACAGACTCCTCATATTTCCCATCATCATCACTAAAACCTTCATTTAAGTCAAACTTCATTTTTTCACAAGGTTCGGCTGCTCCAGAATAAGTGGAACAAGCAGAACCAGTACCAGTAGATGCAGACTTTCCTGTATTAGAACGGTCATGTTTACTGGTTGAAGCAGATCTGTTTTCACACAACTCGTCCTTCTGAGCTTCATGCCTCATAGAACCTGGGCACTGACTCTCAGGAAGTGAATGCTCGGCAATCTCCTGGTGCTCTAGACTGGCCAGTTCACAGCGACTGTTCAGATCATGAGACGTCTCCAAATCGTTATCAGATTTCACTCTTTCTGACTTGCCCACAGCATCTTTTTCACCGAGCTCTACGACTTTGGCTAAAACACCAGCTTCGGGCACCGACTTCTGGCCAAATTCAAGTTGATCCAGGCATTTATTACTAGCCTTGTCCGCAAATACAGGCTCAGCAACTGTAGAAGTCTGTTTCAGCAAAGATACAGATGCCATGTTCAATCCTTCATCCTTATACTTGTTGCTGTTGCCTTCTTCTAGTGCCTTAGATACCGTATCACCAGAAATTAGCTTACAATCACCACTAACCAAATTAGTATTGTCCTTTTCTTCAGTCATCATACCACCAATTCCGCTCTTGGGGTCGGTATTGCTTCTTAATTTCATGAAGGAAGAGTCAATGTCTTTACTGCCACTCGAAAATGCATCCGGCCCAGAGCAACAGTTCAGAACAGCCTGTTTCTTACCATCACATCCATCATTGTAAACCTCATTCTGCACTCCTGCTGAATAATCTTTAGAAGAAGACTTAGATTTTGTCTCAACACCAGAGCAAACTTCCTCCACAGCAGCTGTCGCCCTTTCGATAGAATCATTGGGGGAAACATCAGATCTTGAAATTTCCCCTGCAGCCACACTGGCAAGCAAATTCATGCCACCATCATCATCAAGAGACAATGACGAAGTAGCTTCTGAGTACTTGGCACAGCTCTCGACAAGAGCATTCATGGGGCTGAAAGAAGATGCTTGTGATTTTATAGATTTCAATTTGTCTGATGCAGGAACTTCATTCAATCTCTTGGAAGCATCAGTGGCCATGCTTTGCCCATCTTCAGGAGGAACTGCAGGTGATCCAGCACACTCCGAACCAGTCGATGAATGTTCCTGATCATTGTTCACATCATTTGTTTCACCCTTGTCTTTTGAAGAAGTATCAGATTGCTTGTGTTTCTTAACAGGAGATGCATGGCTGCTCATGATCATAGGATCTTCCAGAGAATCTCCACAAACCCCTTGTGCAGGACTTCTCACGCGGTTTGGTATCTTAACAATTAGCTTATGGCTAATGCCTTCACTTATGGGCCCCTCAACAATCCTTTCACCAGTTGTTGCAGGGTAAGACGACTTCTCTAAAGCAGTATTCTTGTGCACAGGAGAACTTCTGCTAGAGCTGGTTTCTTTCTGACCAGTAGATGCTGATGCTCCCGGAAAACCAGTATGTTTCCGATTACGAGTACTAGTGCTCAATGTCTTATTAGCAGTTGCTGCAAGTGAGGCAGAACTCTCAATGTCATCCTTCACTGACAAAGACTGACCATTATTATGAGACTGGTTAGAACTACTATTCCTATCCTCCCTAATTTGAGGGGCATCAACAGTGCCTCGCCCAGAACCTCTCAGCTGGCTCTCCTTTCCAGAGGCAAGGGTTGGAGCCGGTTTTACTGGCCCAAGAGATGACGATGCATGCTTGTTACCACTCTCTCCAGGTGAGGACCTCCCAGAACTAGTTTTTGCTGAAGAGTTCTGAGTAAGGGAGCTTTTCATGGCACCATCTGGAGTTCTGTTACCACCATGAGAAGCCTCTGGAAGGCGTGATTTGGATGGCCAAGGAGATCCACCTTGAGTTGAACCAGACTGCACATCGATGTTAATCATTTCAGCTTCAACGCGTTTCTTCCAGGTATCGACTAACGTTCGTGCCTTTCGCTGAATTTCCATGTTTTTATGGGATCGTAAATGATTCACAGATTTGCCTATGTTGCATGTTTGAAGGGCTTGGAGATTCACAGGAATTTTACCAAGCGCACGAAGTAAAATAAGAAGAAATTCTTCCACTGATTTATCACCATCTTTTGAGTTATTACCATCACCAATTTTACCTTTGTGAATATCCTGCAGCCAACTATCAAGCACAGGCAAACCTCTCAGATGGACAAACCGACTGAGGCAATCAACATTATCAATGGAAGCTAATACATAGGCAAGCATGGACCGGCTACCCAAATCCAATTTTCTCTCCGGCGTATCTAATTGCATCAACTGCACAAGCTTCTCAACCCCATCCAAATCTACCACGCCAGCTTTTTCTGTTATTTTTGCAATCTCATGTTTTAAGTCACTTTCAGTTTTGGACTGAACAGAATCACCATCATCAGGCCGTGCAGAACGTCCGCGTTTGACAGTATCGGAACCATGATCACCTCTTTCCCTCTTTTTTCCTTTGGCTTGCGAAGGAGCATTAGCACTATTCGGGCCATTATCAGACCCCTGTTTCAGTTGCGAGGTTGAAGTAGGACCATTATTTTGCTTAGGAGAACGAGCACCAGGCTGCAAAGTCTGATGCATTTCTGACCTTGTTTTGAACAAAAGTTGATCTACTTCCTCTTGCTGGTCCTGAGATATACATGCAACATTATAATCAAAATTTTAAACACAAAAATAATGCGCTTAGGGAAAATAAATGACTCTCCATTTGCCATTTCTCACCATACCACCACCCTAAAGCTTTCACCCCCACAAATAGATGAATCAAGTACACACCCCTGTGCACACTGCACACCACACAGACACACGTATACAAGAAAATGAATTTTTAGAAAGGAAAAAACAACTAACATTAACGAGCTGCAGATCTGTTAGCCACGACAAACTCTTGTTTGCAATATCATAGGCACGCCGACAAATGAAAGAGGATGTTCCAATGGGAAGCTCAACACTTCTAGGAAGAAATGCAACTTTACAAGGATGGAGTAGAGATGCAGCAGGAACTTCGTCTTTTTGAAAGGAATAGAAAATCTCGTTGGGTGCACTGTCCAACAAAGTTCCTTTCCCGAGCTTGAGCTCAGATGATCGATAGAGCCAATTCACACCTAGCTGCAAATTATTCTCCTTGTCCAATGCCAACCAACGAATTAAACCAATGAAAGGAGGAGAATCCTTTTGGGGCTTGAAAAGAGCACAATCACCAACCCTAATTTTGCGACCGCCCTGTAAGACAGATCATTCTTGTATCAAAGAAGTGGTGCAATCAGAAGGCGCAAAACAATTTTCAAAACAATTGTCCATTCTTAAAAAGAATAAGAGGCTACCAAACGCAAATACATTGAGATAAATCAAGAAACTTCAGTCTGCAAACCTGAATATGCTAAAGCAAACCTTTAATGTCAAGAAATGGCATCTCTAGAATGCATACAAACTACGAAATAGTCCAGTATTTCTTCTGGGTCATTTATTTTCATTTGTCACAATTAATGCAGTCATCCTTTGTGTATTATTTGCTGTTATAGCTTAAAAAAATGATTGGATTAATATATTTTGGATAAATGCACACAGCACACCATACGACAGCATTTCCTAATTGCAGAGAATCTGAGAACCAATGATTTGGTTACTTAATACGAATCAGCTGTGTCACGAGAAAGTCAATGTTCCCTTGCTTCCACCCCAACACACAGAAGTTAAGAACATAAACCAAAGGAACAGCAAAAATATAGCCCACTTTAGCTTTCCACGTGTAGATTGAAATAATGCGCACAGTTTGGTAGCATTCAAAATGAATATACACAGCCCACTTAAGAAAAAAAGAGAAAAGAAAGTCGACAAATGAAAAATCCACGTTGGAAAGAGAAAAAATAGGAATCAGTTATTATCCCTCGTCATACCACCTAACGAGGGAATAAATTCTTGTTTCATCACCATCATTGAATCATATGATTTGAACCTCCCAACAGATGAAATATAAGATTTATATCCAACTAAAAATTTTTAAATACGATATTCATATCCAACAAGTTTCATTCTCCTTTTATTGTATCTCGGAATTAAATGTATAGCTAAACCCCACCATCTAAATACCTTGAAGAATGAATCGCTGTTGATAGAGGTGGTGATAGAAGAATCACGATGAGTATGACTATCACCGGCAAGAACTACAGCGTCGTTGGTAGTTGCCAATGGTAGGACTGACCGCATGTGCTGACCGCAACTCCTCTCTAAACTCCTACAGCTCCTGCCACCCCGATGAACCCTCCCATGCATAATAAAATGTGGTTTTTCGCATTTTCCCCAATTTTCATACCATACAATACCCCAATTTCAAGCATCAAAATCTTCCAAATTCCTTTTCCAGCTTTTCACTCTAATAAAGATAAAGATAAGACAATCTACGAGACATCCCCATTAATAAATCAACCTGAACCCTTGACAACTCAATCACCGGGATGGATTGAAGAAATACAAAACCCTAGATCGTTTAATCCCACGGAATCTTTTTATTTATAGCTTCAATCAGCTGATGAAAAAGCCTGTCAATACGAAATTCACAGCGTTCAAACCGAAAGCTCATCCAAATCAACCAATCAATCACGCAAAATGATAACAAGAGTTGCACATCGAGAAAAAAAAAAGTGCACGCACCTTCACATATACATACAGAGACGCGAAACCTGAAGAAGCCTGAGAAATGTTCCCGAATTCCGGCGTCTAGAGAGAGAAGACGATAAATGTTTAGAGAGAGAAAGAGGACGGCGAGGTATAGAGATACAGAGCGCTGTACGTCGACAGATAGACAGAGAGAGAGATAGAGAAACGATGTCGTGAGAGTCTCGTCAGACGGCAAAGGGGAAAAAGGGGGCTTTGAAATGAGTTGGGCCGTGTTTGGTTTTAGCTTATTTAAACCCACTTATTAATAATTTTTGTCCTAAAGTGTGGAGAATGTGATTTTCATAACAAATGCTACCTAGTAAAATCTTATACTCTAATTCATATAATCTATAAATAATATGAAGTTATTGTAATAGTTTGATAATCAAATTATAAAGTTTTTGAAAAGAAAATTTGATTGATGTAATTCGGAAAAAATAAATTTCGATATTTTGTATCAATTCTTAACTAGTATTCGACCATGTGCATTTGTAAATGTAAATAGAGTATTATAAGTTATATTTATGTATATAATATTGAAATTATAATTTAGATAATAATATTTTAAACATAGAGTATTATAAAATATATTTACGTATATAATACTAAAATTATAAGTTAGATAATGATATTATATTTTAAAATTCGATCATTGGTTAAAATAAATATTACGTAACTATTTGATTGCATATGAATCACTATATTGATTGCATAAAATATGATAAATAATATAATTTTTGCATATGATAAATAATGTAAATTTATTATAACAGTTGTTTATGCAATTTTAAAGAATTTTACTATGACGTTATGATAAATTAATTTGTTTAAGAAAATAATTTCTAAATCATAAAAAATTATATTATTGTTTTTAAAATAAATCACTTGAACAAAAAGTTTACAATAATTTTTTTTTATGTAACTTTCATATATCACTTAGTGTAAAATATAATTATTGGTTTTAATAATAACTATTATAGATACAATAAAATATATAATTTTTACTCAATTAATATAAAATGTAACGATTTTTGTCTTAATTAACCCTAAAAAAATGCAATGAAATATTTATTCATTAATTGGATAGGATGGATTAATGTAATAATAATAATAATAATAATAATAATAATAATAATAATAATAATTTATTGTAAACAGTAAATAACAAATAGTTTCATTAAATTTTTTGTTAGTATATAAAGAGAGAGATGTATATAGATGATAAAATTGAATTGTACGATTTTTGACGTGAAAGTTATGAGGTTTTATTAAATGATCTGCCAGCAATTATATATATTTATATATAGATAACTATTACAAATATTTTTTTATATTATTTTTCTTTCTAGGTTTATGTTTATTCAAATCTTTCTAAATAACTTGATTGCTACATTTTTTTTCTTATCCAACATTAGTTATTGGGATGTGATATAGCACTTCATATAATTATCAGTCATGTACAAAACATGTGTTCGTTGTTTCTACATGTCTGAGTCGATCACACGGTTGGGAACATTAATGTTGTTGTTAGTCAGACCTAGACGATTAGACAATTATATATATTCAATATATGTGCATGTTTTAAAATTAAATTGTCATGCTCTAAAAACAACATAAGCAAAAAAGTATTTTATAACATAAGTACGCTTATTGTTAAAGAGTCTAACAAGTCGATTTCGGAAGCAGTTAGACCACCTCATACTAGGTCTAGGACCGATTCAGTTCCTAGCATATTTTTCAGGAACCCGAACCAGAGCCGAAAAAATAACCGATTTGATTATCACAAGAAAATTCGCAGGAATCGAACTATGTTATAACGGTTCAGTTCATCCGGTTTAAGTTAACAACCATTAAAACAATTGCAACTTACATACAAAAAATATCATAAAAAAACAAGAACTGAAATGCAAAAATGAAAAATTGAATATCAAGTACCAAGAAGCAGAACCGTTTAGTATATATAAACATATAAACCATGCATATTGCATATATATAGGCGGTTCCTTGGTTATAATACACATACATTTGGAAATGAAATCGGAAACCATAACCAATTTGTACAAAAATGACCGAATAGGAAAAAAATATTATTTTTCTGTTTAAATAAAAATAACTGAACCAACCCGATTATTTTCATTTCTGTTCTTTGGAAGGATGGATGAAAGATACAAAAAAGAAAAAAAAAACCCTAGATCACTCAATTCCACGAAAAGTCGTCCTTTTTAGTTTTTACGCCTAATTTTACACCTTGGGCTTCAATTATTGAGCAAACCTGCGAATAGGAAATTTACAGCCTTGAGACCCAAAAACATAAAATAAAATGTGTACTTTGAATTGATCCCAGACTTCTGATTTCAATCCAAGGTAAAAGAATGTTTGTTTACATGGATTGCAGCATATACATTATCACAAACTAATTGAACCAACTGATGTTGGACCGATTGTTCTCAACTTTATTATTTTATTACCAAAATAACATAAATTGACTACATCAATGCAAATATACAATATAAGAATGAAGTTGCCAAACTAAATTAACTCGAATCGAATAAGAGTCAGCATCGCATGTGTTTACCTGCNAAGAATATACTCTTTCGTGGAACCAACCACACTTAACTAACTTGTTGAAACATTTTGGGAAAAATTGTACAGACCAATCCACAGCAAGTGGTTAATTGTCATTTGAGAATGTTAATCTCAGCCCCCACATTGATAAAACATAATGCTACCATAGTGCCTTAGCACATGACAAATCCAATAGATCTATCTATTTTACTCTGTCTAACCAACTTACAATGCAGACTGTATCCTAAATTAGATGAACAAATGCAAATGATTGGTCCAAAAAACAATCAATGGTGAGATCAACATTTTGATGTTGATAGCTTAAAGTTAGTATCATGATACTCCCCATCAATCCACATCTCGCATTAATTCATTGACCAATTGGTTTGAAACCCCAACCATCAAACCTTAATCCACCTCATGCCTGTAATAATAACAATAATAATGATAATAATAATAGTTCAAACAACCCTAGAATAAGACACTACGAATAGTGTTTCTCCAAAGCCGAATATTATGATTCTCTAGTAATCTCGAAGCCATTCACTTATAGTCCCTACGAAAAGGATTGTAGGGCTCAACCAAGTACAAGGATCATACTAATCCACAAACAATTATTTGCATGCCCAAGTGGTGAGGGAACCTCAAAGCATTCAACTCCAGTTGCATCTAACATTGTAATAGGATATTCGAATGCAATTTATCAATTCTCTACTTAATTTAAAAACGAGAAAGGCATGACCCGGAGGGACTAATCGAGTTTCACACCTCTTCATCACAAGTCGGAAAACTACAAGGCGTTGATCATTCTTTTCATCTCAGCAGACCTCCTAGGATCCGGTTCTTCAATAGCTCTCTCAGTCAGCACATGCTTGATTCGGCACATTGACTTACGTACCTGTTCAATGGTAAAATAACCAGGATTTAAGCAAAAGGATTTGAATAGGAGGGTGACAGAGTTGGAACTGGAGAATACATAACCCTTGGCCTGCTCATCTTTTTTCGCTGTACATTAAATGGAAGGAATTTGCATTACCAAATGAAGAAGAGAAATCCAAAGTAACTTATGATATTGATAACATGTAAAACTTGTATTTTTCAATCATCACATCATTTGTTTTGTTTTCTCGTAATTGTGTAATGTCATATGCAAACTTCCAGCTCAAGCTAACATCAACTTTTAACAGATCTAGTGGTGCAATAGTCTGTAGGTTCAAGTTATAAGCCATTAGCCCTGGCCAAGGATTACGGGGTCCACTCTAGACACAAATTTGCGATTTTAAATATCTAATCAAACTGAAAGATGGAACATTGCTAGCAAATGATCTATCCTACTGTATGTCATTTTACCTAAAGAAAGCGCATTACCATAAATTATTCTCCACGCCTCTCAGTAAAACTAGTTTAATGGCATCAAAATTAGTTCCTTGAGGACTTCTCAGGAAAGAAAAAAAAAAATCAACAATCAACATTGACCTGCTAGAAGCTGTAAGTCCGTTATTGAGACCAAATATTTATTTAAACAACCATTTCAACTTCTCACAATCATGAGCAAGCTCCAGTATCTAGAGAGGACCAGAGGATCGGGCCATTCGGTCAAAACAAACAATATCAAAACCTAGCAATTGTATTATTTGATAGGACAAAGAACAATCATAAGCTATTATCTACAAGCACAGCCATATCTCTGGACCTTCTCATGATTAGTGTGTTTTTGCGTGCACACGATAGTTTTCTTTAGGTTAGACAAGATCATATAACTTGGATAGAATTAACCATTATATATATACAGAAATACACCTTTGGGATACGCTCAGGATTAGGAAACCGCAGATTCTGAGCCTGAAGCATCTGACGCTGAGTCATCAACATGTTCTTTTCCTTCAGGAGAACATACCAAAGCTTCTGAAGGTCATCCCATGACTTCAGACGCAGTTCAGAGGCCTTCCAACTCCGACCTGAGAAGAAAACTCAAAAGCAGCTTCTACGTTAACCAGTAAGAATGAGACTACTTTCACCACCATGATAAATGTGGGGTACTTACAAAAGAATATTCGTATGAGAAAAGAAAAGTGGTCTGATGGTTTTAACTAATCACACTAATATATAAATATAATGACTTTTTGTTAATTCAATTGCAGGGCAGTAAATGATCAATACGAATAAAGAACTGCAACACGCAAAAATAACCTAGTAGAGATTGAAAAATAAAAACACTATTTATACCATAGACGACAGGCTTCTCATCTTCTGGGTTTCTATCAGCCTCAAAAAACTGCTCGAGAGGATTGTGCCGAGCAGTAGAAGTAGCAGCAGCTGCAGCAGCTGAAGCCTCTGATTTGGCGGCTGCAAAGAGAGTCCTCCCAAAAACCCTTGTCAGAAACATCCGTACCTCAGATCAAGATAAGAACTGCTCTGCAAAAATATATAATAAATATCGCAGAATCATAGTATAAAATACACCAAAATAATATGTACAACAACACTCATTCAACGAACACTATTACATTATCATGAAGATTAGAAAAATACGTACTAGTTTGACTAACTTAGATGACAATTAGTGTGTTATCTTATGGCCCAGTCCACAAATCTAGCAATTAAAATTTCTGGGTATTGGAAGCAGTAACACAACAGTCTACAATGACATGAAGATCTGACAACCGTAAATGAAACACAGCTCACTTGAGTAATTATTCCAATTAGACTATTTCAAAAGAAGTCTGAAGTGATCCCGTATTGATAAAAATTAAAGTCCTCGGTAAAAGGTTCAAATCCCACTAAAACACCCTCTCGTTTCCCACATAGCATAGATAATAACATTGATTATTTTACTGTAAGTAAATAACTAATCCCGTATTGAGACACATTTAGTGAAATTCACAACTCTCAAATATCATCAGAATCCTATTCAAGAGCCACAACCGTGCATCATTCGAGGAAGAAGGAGCTCAAAGGGACTCTAAAAGTCAGTAACAGAAGCAAAATTCGGGCTTCATATCGCAGCAACAATTTGGAAACCCAAAAGCCACAACCGTGCAGCTCAAATCATAGGCATAAAAATTAACCCAAAAAAAAAAAACACGAGTTTGAAGTCGTGGGTGCAGCCCGTACGATTCAAAGTCAGAAAGGAAAATTACGAACTTGAGGTGCAGCCCGTACGAGGGGATTTGGGTGGCGAACTCATTTGAGAATACGATTCAAAGTCAGAAAGGAAAATTACGAACTTGTGTGTGCGGGAGCAGGAGCGACAGAGCGAGCAAGGCAATTTGGGATTCAGACTTCAGAGCGCGGCGATTTGGGATTTCAGACTTCAGAGTGTCGACGTCGAAGATCGAAAATGAAGTGTGTCTGTGTGATAATGTGCGCTGTGCGGCGGACGGGTGGAGAAGAAGATGTGGAAGTCGTAAGATTGAGTCTGACAGATTGGATTTGGGCTAAGGAAGATGAATGATAAATGGGAATTAAACTGGGCCTGCTTTGTGGTGGGCGGCCTGTTGTAGCTTTGGGCCTGTGGGTAAATACCAATGGATTAAATGATATATCATTATATTGGACTTTCTAACTTATATGTACAATATATCGGTTTTCGGTTCGGTTCAGTTAACCGACAGGTTTTAATCGAATCGAACCGAACCGAACCGAACCGAAAACCGAAATTTTGAGATAATAGAAACCAAAAACCGAACTAATTAATCGGTTTCGGTTTCGATCGAAACCAAAAAATCAGTTTCGATCGGTTAACCACAGTTTGTGCAGCCTTACTAAATTTAATTAGGATGTTTTATCAAAATGACAATAACAACCTCGTGTAATAAGTCAAAAGAATTCAACAAAAGGTTTGATCACCACGTGGCATGTAGGGCCCCTACATGACTTTCCACAGACACAAGCCACCGATTTATGCTGTCTGTCACTCATGCATTTGTCCACATTCAAATCAAAGGTAATAAAACGAAAAAAAATAAATAAAAAATCAACTAAACATCCGTTTTATGAAATGACAATAAAAAGAAAATGAACAGACATGAATACATGATATGTAAGGGGATATAGAATTTATGTTCATTGTCACTTTATAATTAATTCATTTTTCATCAAATCAATGTCGTTGAATAATTTCCTACCTCCATTTCAAACTATACTCAATACTCATTCGAACAATTAAACAAAATTCTGGTTATTTGTTTACTTATTTTCAAATAGAAATTTCCAAAAAGAAANAAAAAAAAAAAAAAAAAACAGAAAAAGATTTATTCGATAAATCCATCAAGAAAAGGTATGTGCCAGTGATTTTATCATTTATTTATGCCTCTACTAAAATGAATATCAAAACGAGCTTTTACAAAACATTTTGCAAGTGACCCAATCATATGCTATGCATGTGGTTGTTGGACCATTTAACAAAACATTATAAGAACAATCCTAAAATATAAAATTCTCAAAATTTTATTATCTTATATTATCAAAGAAATCATATCCACATGCTAGCGAGTAATAATATAAAGCAAACCAACGATAACGAGACAAAAACATTATTTTATTGTTTTTCTTTACTTGAAGAAAGAAGTTTGAGAATTGAGAGGTAAAGGGGTTAACAGGAAAAAAATTACAGGGGCAGTGAAGCTTTTATTTTTGTTGTCTTCACACTTTTGCTGCTTCCCTCTTTTTTTTCTTTTCATTTTCCATTTCTTTTTTCAGGCTTTTAATTTCTTGATTACAATCACCAAAGTTTCCTCCTCTTTCCCTCACACTTTTACCATTCTGTACTTTCTCTTTCTCACTTTCCTGCACTGCACAACCCTCCTTTCCTTTTTGGCTGAAGCTTTCTTTGTTGAGGTGGGCTTTTCGTTTATTGACTAAAGTTCACCACTTTCAGTCTTTCAACATCCTCACTTGATTTTGCTTATTTGAAAAGCTGCTTGATTTCACAATTAGGTGCCTTTCTTTTCTCACGTCATTCTCGATTTCTCATTACTATTTTCTTTTTTTCTACTGGCAGTGTAATATTTTGATTTATCTTGCAATAATGGCACTCCCTTAACACACAACACTCTCCTTAACCTTTCTTCTGTTACAGTTCCATTGAGCTATATTTGCAGATTTGGGCGTTTTTGCGTTATACTATGCGAGACTTATAATGTAAATCTTAAAGAATTCATTTTTCTTTTTCTTTTTTCAGAAATCGAAGCTAGAAAGATAAGAGCAAAAAAATGGCAGGAGGTGGAGGTTCAGCAAAGGCAGATGAACCAGCGCCACACCCACCAAAAGATCAGCTCCCAAACGTTTCTTACTGCATTACAAGCCCTCCTCCATGGCGTTAGTCCCTTAAAGAAATTTCCACTTCTTTTTTTTTGTCTTTTTTTTTTTTTTTAAAAGTTTGAGTGTTCAGTATATTATTGTTGTTCTTCTCAGATTTTATTAGAAATGGTTAGGGATCTTTAGGCCCTGTTGTTCTCTTCCCCTTTTTAGCTGGGGAAATAATTGGTGTGTCGATTTAGCCCCTTTACACTTTATGTGTGTATATTCTTGGATTAAGTTCCTTTTCAGGTTTTGGTTGGAAGTGTTTGCAAAACATTTATTTGGAGCCTTGTTATGCAAATTTATACCTTATACTGTCTTTCTTTGGTCAATTAGCATCTTGAATTGTTCTGATTCCTGTGATACTTTTTTTATTCTTCTCTTGGTTTTCTAGATTATTCTTGTTTTCCTACTTTCCATTTGTGTGTCTAAAAGAAGTTTTAAGATGTAGGATGAACAGAGTCCCAGTTTCCTTATAAGGATTTAAATACTTCATATTTGAGTATGCTCGGTTAAAATTCAGGTCTCCTTGTATATTTGAGGGGACTGCTGTACTTTCCCAGCTATTATTGAGCAAGAATAGTCAATAATCAATAATGCAGTTCTTATTTTATACACGACTACATTCACGGGCTTGCTTATATCATACTGTGTGCATAAGTGACTCCTCACTCATACCTTACGAAGTTCTAAAAGCTTGTTAGCTATTAATCATCATTTGTGCTGTGATGTCACCAGATTTGATGTGTGTTAAAAATACTCATTTTCTCTTTATGTACGAGTATTTTGTTATTATTGTTATTTGTATTCTTTTTAATGCCATTTTGTGTCTACATTTTCACAGCTGAAGCTATCCTTCTCGGATTTCAACACTATCTCGTGATGCTGGGGACTACCGTCATCATACCCACTGCCCTCGTTCCTCAAATGGGAGGAGGAAATGTGAGCCATTAAAATTATATAACTGGCGATTCTGCTTCTCACTCTGATTCTATTTCTATTTTCTCATTCAATTGCACACTTGCTGTTTTCCTTATATTCAGGAGGAGAAAGCTAAGGTTATTCAGACTCTATTGTTTGTTGCTGGTTTGAACACCCTTTTGCAGACATGGTTTGGAACTAGATTGCCTGCCGTGATTGGGGGTTCATACACATTTGTTGCACCCACAATTTCGATTATCTTGTCCGGTAGATGGAGTGATCCGGATCCCACATCGGTTTGTGATATTTGTTTTTTTACTATTACTATTGTACTTTCTTGGTTTATGAGCTTTCATTGATTGCACTTCTTTTTTTATGTTTTTGTCTTGGTTGTCATGTTCCTACAAGGGCTGAACTATTTCAATTTTAACTAAAAATATTTTGAATTTCAATCTAACTATACCATAACTCCTCCGTCTTTTAGCTTTAACAACCATTAAGTTGCTTACAGAGCAATTTTTCATGCCTTAGATTGTTGCTCCACAACATACACTCGTGCTGCAGTTAAAATTCATACAATCACACACGAAGTAATTGCTAAAACTTCGTCAAACTTCAGAAAGGGTTATAAATATTGTTTTTACGTGGTGAAACCTCCTAATATATATACATATATGTTTCTTTTGAATTTTACTATCATGCAGAGGTTCAAGAAGATAATGAGGGCCAGCCAAGGTGCACTTATTGTGGCATCAACCATTCAAATTGTGCTCGGTTTCAGTGGCCTGTGGCGTAATGTTGCAAGGTTTTTTCTCTACTCCCGTTTTGGATATGAGTGCCATAGTTTTATCTAATTCTATTCAGAGAGCTGTGTCATTTCTTTCAACTGTATTCTATTCCCATGGAATGATGCCCGGAGGTCACTTTGTTAATGCTGTTTGTTGTTGAGAGTGCAATATGTTCGTTAGCTTGTTGATACAATAAAATTCAACTAAGTATCTCATTTTGTACCAAGCTGTTATAGATTTATGTTTTTGTCTCATTTTGGGATTTATGTTCAATGATGCAGATTTCTGAGTCCACTTTCAGCTGTTCCATTGGTTGCTCTTGCTGGCTTTGGGCTTTATGAGTTCGGGTTTCCTGGGGTAAGTGCAGCTCTCCATCTCTTTTCATCTCTCTTCAATTTTTTTTCAATAATCAAATTGATATAATCTTCTTCTATTGCAATTGTTCAGGTTGCCAAATGCATTGAAATTGGGTTGCCACAGCTTATCCTCCTGGTTCTGTTCTCTCAGGTGACACATTTTAAACCACACCATTCAGTTTTTCCCCCCTAAACACCGAAAAGTCAATTTCCACACTATCATTTTATCGATAAAATCAAATATATTATACATTCCCATGATAGCTTTATTACTATTGAAGCATTTAAAGACTCAGTTTAAAGATTACCTTTTTTATTTCTCCTGTTTTTGCAGTATTTGGCTCACCTGATACGCCCCGGGAAGAATATCTTTGACCGTTTTGCTGTTATATTTACTGTTGTGATTGTGTGGATTTACGCCCATCTTCTTACTGTTGGTGGGGCCTACAATGGAAAGCCTCCAAAGACTCAGACAAGCTGTAGAACTGATCGTTCAGGTCTTATAAATGCCGCTCCATGGTAAAGCTGCATTTTGTTGCTTGGTGCTAGCAATCATTTTTTAACCATTTTTTTTTTCTTAAAAAAAAACAAATCTCTATCCAGCAAAATATATAATGAACGATAACGATTCAAATCGGGCTTCTACGTGCAGGATTAGAGTTCCTTACCCTTTCCAATGGGGCGCTCCCTCTTTCGATGCTGGTGAAGCCTTTGCCATGATGATGGCTGCATTTGTCTCTCTTATTGAGGTTCGTTTTTCATGTTTAACTTACTATGTTTTTTGTGTGAATATTTTTTCTTCATATTGTGCCCGGGTTGAATAATGGTAAAGTAGACTAGCAAAAAACAATATTGGATTATTTGATTTGTTTTTCATATTGTCTGTGACCATTCACACAAAAAATTCCAATTCATTAAGCCATTTGCAGCTCAAGTTCTTGAAATTTCTTATCCAACATGAAGTTATACTATATATATATATATAAATATATTTTAGATTACACTAATTTTTTGTTGATTTGATGTTGAATTCAGTCGACTGGTGGCTTTATTGCTGTGTCCCGATATGCTAGTGCAACCCCATTGCCCCCATCTATTCTGAGCCGTGGTATAGGCTGGCAGGTAAACTGAGTTCACAAGTCAACAAGTAGCAAACTTAATTTGGCCTTGATGAACATTCATGTGATACTTTTATAGTAATCCCTCTTGATAAGTGATAACTAATATTATTTTCAAAACTTCCAAGATAATTGGCTGATTCAAGAGCAAATGCATAATTTTCAAATAATTGGCATCTACTTCCAAAAATAAGATCCCACTTCTCGAATTAAGGTTACTTTGCTATTGATATTGTAGAGATGAATTTTCTTATTTTTGGACATATATATATATATACACACCAGGGTATTGCCATCCTTATGTCTGGTTTGTTTGGGACAGCTAATGGATCATCCGTATCCATGTAAGAGCTTAGTAATCAGTTTGTGCACATTATTTATTTGTTTCAAATTGGATTCATTTATATGACAAATTACTTTTCTTTTACTCCAATTTAGTGAAAATGCGGGGCTTTTGGCACTTACCCGTGTTGGCAGTCGAAGAGTCGTGCAAATATCAGCCGGATTCATGCTTTTCTTTTCTTTTCTCGGT